GCTTGTAAACCACTCTCCGTCGCGAAGAAATTCAGACGACATTGAGTTGTTGTGCAAATTTCCGTAAATTTCGTTGTATCTGTGGTGAAGATGTCGAAATAACGTGATGTCAAAGCTTTCGTACTTTGTGGCTTTCCCTATCCATTCAGGATACCCAGTGAATTATGAATTCGAGATAATATGAAATCTAATGCAATGTCAGTGTGTTTGGACACAATTTTTCTATGGGTGGAAATTTCTGGAGAAGAAAAACTACAAAACTGACACGTGAAATCGCCTACGTGGAGAGAAATGGCGGTGTGGGATGTTTTTCCGGGGAACTGCGATAACCTGCGCCATAGTGGTCATTTGGGGTTTTGCGGCACTTCTTGAGAAATTCTTTTCTCGGCCAACTTCAGTTTCTTTCTTTAAATGTTTTACTCTTTGTCATCAATTACAGTCGCAATCTTCCAGTGCCTTGGTTTTGTCATCATTGTTCATTAAAAGTATGTCGATCAAAGCAAAGAGACGCAATAACTGGCCAACACTGGCAGTTCTTGAGCCTTTCACAGCACCAATTTCACTCCTATTTCTGGCTCAGTTTCCTGTCCGGTGTTGTTCGCTCGTGATTTCATTTGCATTAAATTCTTGGTTAAGCGTTTCGGATCTTCATAAATTCAGTTTATAGATGAGTTTTTCTTTATCTTTATTCCGTCTTATGCTGTGTCTGTGCTGCTGTCTTATGCTTGGGCTTCGTTCATGTACGACGTTTTCGGCAGCTTTAACCGACGTCGAATCGATACGTATGATTTTCTGTCACTGTCAGTGACTTGGATCGATACATATCTAATCTTTTATCGCCAATTACGTCGATTACATCGACGTCGTAGTATGAACGCAACCTTATCTTTCGTGGGTGCTACTCCAAGGTCCAAAATTCGATACGTTAATGTTTCGTGCGAGAACGTACCATCACGTCGCATGATCTCTCGTGACACTTTAATGCTGCGTTCATGCTTTTCAACTACGTTGAAAGTATAGGTATCGAATCTAAGCTTCCCGATTGTTTTGAAGCGCCGATCGGCGCCTAAATTACCCGTTCCCCTCAAAACACTCGGTCGATACCTACACATTCCTTTTCGCCCTGTATGCTCGAAACCGGCGAAAAGTATGAATGCAGCCGACGAGAAGAATACCTAATATGCACCCCCTTCAAAGGTATTTCTTCGATTTTTTTATGTGGGCCGGCAGTTTGTGCAACGGGAATGAGGAATTTAGCTAGATGTAATGGGCTCCGGTGGGACTGATCCTATGCCGTTGCAAAAAGTGGTTTTACCTTCCCTTATGCGTTTGCAAACAACTGGTTTTAACCCTTTGCCCAAGAAAACCACCGGGTATGTGGCGAGAGATCGTAATTCGCCGCGCCAGTGGGCGTTGGGTGCGACGTCGCGCCTGCTAATGACGCCGATTTTAAGTGGTATTGGTATAGAATAGACAATGTATGACCAAAAATAGACATACGTGTCTATCATGTCCTTGTCGACGCGAAATCCCATCCTTCTATCGGAAAAGGGGAGGCGGCCAATGTAAAGCAGGTCGTGCCATTGCCGCGCGCGGCGCAAAGCGCAGTTTCGATTCTTCTTGCCGTAATTTACGGCCCCCGACACAAACTCCCAATTCTCCCTTCCATGTTAATGGCATGCAAATATGCATGGTGGTAGTCTTCTAACAGAGTTTTTTGCGAACTACTACTGGGCTAGCCACTTTCCATGTAGGCTAACATCTTTGCTGAAAAACACATCAGATATTGCTGTTAACATCCGATCTAGACGTTTTGTTATTGACAAGTGTGAGCCTTTCCATCTGTTTTGCCCTTATAGTATACACCGCTGGTTCTTCATAAACACTATTACACAGCGTTAACAAGAAACAATATTTCATCATTACTCCAAAATGTAGTTCCCCGGAACCGTAGTGTCTTCTTTTTTCGGACTGGCGCTGCAACTAATGAGCTCCTTGAAGAAGCTCTTCCGAATCATTGATTGTGTTCCTTGTAAGGTGGTCACATACAGTCATAATCCCTGCTATTGATGGGGGACAGGACATGGGAATGGCTTGAAACGTGGCCGCACAGATTCCCCCACCATCTCTTCCTCGCAAAAGGCGTCAAAATTGGTCCACAATGAAGTAAAATGTTGACATGTAACTGATTTTGTTGCTCATATCCACTGAATACGCAGTGCTTTAGAGGATTTGAAAATTACTGGTTTGAACTTCGCCCAAATGGTAAATCGACCAAAGACTAACCTGGCGATCTGACAGGGAGAGTCACGAGATGATTAGATACGAAAGGCGAATTTCTTTTTGAGTTATAGATGTGGTACCTATAAAGAAAGTACGTCGGTCGGGACATCGGTCCTGCCAGTGAACGTATTTCGATGGAATCGCGTTGTGTTTTGACGAAAACGATCACATGCGTGGGGGATAATGAGCCTGTCGAACTGGAAAGATCTTATTTGAGTTACATGGTGGCGGGGAATCAGTCGATTTGCATCAAATATTTTCCATCAATTCCTGCAGCTTCGACGGCAAGTCTGGAACGCTGGCACTTATTAGATGGAGTAAATGGCAGAGAACCCAGTGGAATGATCATTTCTTCTCATAGCTGCATCCTTAGATCCCTTCCTTCATTTGTAGAACCTTGCCTGCTGCTATATTCTCCCTTGTGATCCTGAATTTAGATGCATTTTCTGCATCACTCTGTAATCGGTTTTCGACTTTTCTTTCATTTTTTCTACTCTTGGGGTTGGTGCACTTTAAGCTTCGTCGGTTGCAGATGAAGGGCGTGTGATGGGTTCCGGGTCAGGAACCGTTCTGCTACCAGTTAGTTGAAGCCGGGACAAGCCCACAACAGTTGGTGGTTTGATTCACTGATACGAACGATAGCCAACACAGTCTTGTTCGACTATTTCGCTTCAAGGCAAAATTGCGTACAAACGCCTTTTCCGCACGCGCCACACACAGTGTGACACGCCCTGCATCCGCAACAAGACTTAAATTGTTACATGAAACAATGCACAAATTCAGACGGGCGCTAGGTGGTTGGGAGAACCTCACTGGAGCCTGCTGTACGCCTCTCCTATTCAAAGCTTAGGCTTAAGAAGCTGTGACTCGACTCCTTTGTAGGACAATCCCTAATGGACCGTTGTCGGCTGCGCTTCGAGCCCAAGCCTTTTCGGGAAAGCTATACAGAGGCGAGCGATCCTCCCCCTCAACCACATTCCATATCGCGGAGACGAGAATGGGCGTGGTTTCTCTTCATTCTATCATTTAGTAGTGGAATATGCCGTTTTTCGTATGGGAATTTTGGCCACTATGTTACCACTTCACTGCCCCACCATCCAGAACAGTTTTTCGACTATCTTTTTCCTCTGTGGACAGATTTGGGAAATGTTGTCTTCTGGTGTTGACTCCTGAATACAATTTCCAATTATCCCGCGTCACAGGCGCCGGTGATTTGGGGTATTTTGGGCGCCTGTAGCGCAAGACAGATTTTGGCCGATCGGATGCGATATCAGAGGCCAAAATCCCGGAACATTAGGTTCAGCCAATTCTGCGAACTCAGAAAAGTCGAGTCAAAAATTGGCCTGTTTTGGAAGTGGGGCCTGCTGAAGGGAAATAGTGTTCGAGGAATTGATTGTATTGAGACAACTGGCATCCTGGTCTGCGTGCGCTGGACAAGGAATGGCAGTACCTCACAAACGCAGCCACTGCATTCAGATGAAGCACGCAGCCACGCCTTCTCTATGTTCGTGATATGAAGCGTCCGCTGGCGCCATTTACAAGTTGTGAACCTCTCGTCACTTTTCGTTTTTTCGTTTGTTTCCTACTGTGATTTTTCCAGAGCGGTCCCGCGATGGCGTTCCGAGGCGGTGGCAATTCCGTTTCCATTCATGGTACGTCCTTTTCACAATTTGCAATTCAGTCAACAATCGATGCCCGAGCGAGGGATTAGAGACGCTCGTGATCGTATGGGTGTTTGTCATCGAGTTGCCAATTTACAGTTTTGTTCAATAAACTGGGTAAAGGGAACTGTGTTTAGCCCAGGGGTCTTTGGTGATTGTGGTTAACCACCTCCTTCGTACCTCCTTAAAAGCTCGACTGTTTATGGGTTAACCTTGATGAACAGACAGTTTAAGCTGCGAGGGTGCCCTGTTTCGAGTTTTTGGGAATCATTTGACAGTGCGCTCATTTCAAACGCACGTGATGATCTAGGCAAGTGGATTCACAGAGCTATACTTTTTGCAGATTCATTGAAAAGCTGGATTGCCTTATAGGAAAAGGTGCATGTGGTACTACATAATCCGCTTGAGCGTGTGCAGCGAATCTCATGCTGCGAGAGGCTTTTTTCAAAGCACAACACGCTCTATTGTATGCCAAGTGCAGTTTGTGTAGATGTGGCTGCAGCTTGTCCGCGTTCTGTTGCCCATCACTATGAACAGCGAGAGGTTGTTTCAATGGAAGCCATCACGACCCCTTATAAAACCCCCACATACTCTAATTTCTGTAGCTACCATAACCTCTCATCCGGGCTTGAAATTACTTTATACTGCGCTCTATCAACTTTGACCTTTTTATTGCATATTTCTCATATTTATGTTTCTTTTGGTTTTGGCACATGTACCACTACCTTCCCAACGTTGTAAAAGTGAACGGTCGCTTCGAAAAAGGCCCTTGGGTATATGCTAGTCGATAATTTAAACCAGACACGCTACCCTTGTCGCACTCGGATCAGGATAGTTGCTGTTTTCCAGTTTCTCTCTTCTCGCAACCTTGATATATTTGTATTTTGTGTTTAGTTTTCATGTGCTTTCGAGGTGCGAGAAAACATAAACTCACTCAGGGTTCCGCCCAAAAAAAATTAACACCTTTTGGGCACAACGGGGTGAGGTTGTTCTTCTACATTGCTTGGAATCATCTTCGTGGTGCCCGTCAGTACATCGGAACTGCTAGAGAAGATGACGTGCTAGGTGTAGAGCGTAAGTTTTAGGCAGCGTTCAGACTTCGCGATGACGCGCGACGATGCGCTGCAGCGCTATACATTTACACAACAGCGTTTCAGTCTTATAGACGTGAACGCCGCGGATGGGAATCGATCGGTGCCGGCCGCTAGAGTATGAGATACGATAAAAGGAAGGCAAGTGCTGTGTTCACACAATCTGCTCTCCCATTCTTCTATACTCTCCCAGTGCCCTTGAGGCCAGTGCCGATTGATATCCTGCTACGTGGTTAGGTTCCTCTTCCCTCCTCACAAGATACAAGCGGTCCGTTGTTTGCGTCTGCGGCTGCGTCCGCGTCTATTGGTTAAAGCGTTGTTGCAATTGTAGCATATTGCAGCGCGTTGCAGCGCATCAACGCGCGTCGTCGCGATTCTCAAACCGTAAATCACTTGAGGCCACCAACCGCGATCAAGTCGGATTGTTGGTCATTGAATAAAATTCCATCTGTCATCCTCGTGAGGCACATAAACACTATCACAAAATAGTTACTACTCTCTCTCACACCAATGACGGGTTGTGCTCCATTGTAGCAAACTCTCTTTCCATTTTTATATACTCAATTGTGACAACTGGTTTGATGCCCATAAACGAGTTGATCGGGCTTATATAAGCGTGTTTCAAAAAGTGATGTTGTAATAGTAACATCCGACAAAGCGACGTCTATACCGTCCAAATCAAATGTGCGAATCAACAGAAGGCTAGGTTTCATTATTCGTAGTTCAGTTTAGTCATTACTAAATATCTCTTAGCTCGTTATTTTCAGGGTACAAAGGGCCAACATCCAGTTTTAACGGAGCACCACCACCGCAGCATACATTCGGCGCTTCGATGGCTGGTATGTGGCTTTTGTTTTTCGTTCGAAATTCGCTCAAACAGTTCTCATCGATTTGTTTACTCTGAAATTTCGCATTGTGGTTCATAACGTCCCACGCTTTGTGCTTATTTTCATTCGAATGTCTATTGAAGGATTCGCTGGCGCTCAGAGTATCAATGGTGGGTTCGGCTATCCCAAGGGCGTCCATCCGCCAACATCTTTTGGAAGAGGCCAAGGTGAAGCTGCCCTTTTATGTTTTCCTTTCATTCTCTATATTTCAGTTTTAGCCCTACCAGGAGCTTCTTATCGCGGGAGAGGTCAAACAACTGTCCAACATCAATACCCAGCTGGGGTACGCTTTTAGTTTCAATTTTTGTAGTATCTCTTTTTTTGACAGAAGGGCACATCATTGCTGCATAGAATACAACGAGGGGTCCAGGTGGTTGGCCCTAAGCAAAAATATCTTCAAATTTGATATTTTCTCCTGCCCCAGGCATACATTCGTCACCTTCCCCCTTCTTTCGACAAGAAAATTTTGAAAATGTTTAAATTTGGTGAGTTAGTAGGTAGTTAATAAAGGGGAGTGGCGCCGAAGTAGAACTCGGGAGATTGTCTTCAAAGAAAGTTTGACCCAAAGCGATTGTGTGCCCTTAAGCATCGATCTCGCGCTCATTTGTTAACTAGCTAGTTTTTCTGATTGAACAGGTCTCTTTTTATATTCTACTTGATATTTCCTTAGGCTGCGTTCATACTTTGCCACCGTTATGAGCGTAATATTTGAGCGACTAGGAAAATATAGGAATCGATCTGGCGTACGGCAGCGTTCTGAGCGACTATGAAAGTATAGAATCCCTAGCGTTTCGAGCTACACCAGCATTGTGCACGTCTTTGCCGGGTAGCTTTGTTTTGCGCAGAGTTCGTTGAAACGCTGGATACCACGTATCAATAATCCATTTGTCTAGTCGCCAAACACTGCCCAAAGTATGAACGCAGCCTTACCAGTGAACTGCAGTGGAACTTCTCACCAACAAAAGTTTCTGTCTTAAAGTTTCAGCACAACCCATACAAGTATGTAGCACCGAAACATTCACCTGTTGGCGACGATGTAATGGAGAAGCGTAAGTCACCGTTTCCATTGTCATTCTAGTCTTCTTTTTGTCGTTGGTGTTCAGAGACATAAGCCATTCATTTACAGCAATGAAACCAGAAGAAGTCGCTTTGCTCAACAAATTCTTGCACAAAAAAGTGGATCTCATGCAGAATAGTGGTATTGACGTATCGTTAGACAGGAGTGATCCTCGCTCACCGCTGCATTCCATTCGGAGTTTTCGCGATCTCAGACTGTAAGTTTTTTTTTGCGGAGACCAGTACCAAAGTGGGTCGTGTAATATTTTCGCATTCAAATCGATTGGATTTGAGCAGATTACGGAAAGGGCACAGCATCCGTTGTGAAAAACACTTGATAGGTGTCACGATATTGCCGCTTGTAAGGGGTCGTGATTGCCCTTGAGAACGGAAATTTTTATAGTTGATTAGTGCCGTTTTGGGTGCTCATCACTGGAAAAACCACATGAAGGGATACGGCGTTCCAGTGGCTCATGAGGGAATCGTAATTCGGTCAGTGGGGGGGGGGGTAGGGTAGAAGTGCTGCCGCGCTGCGAGCTGTAGATACGTGAGCACTGGAACTCCGTACCCCGGGATGTAAAGCGCGTGGTCGTGTCCTTCAATGAGACATGGCGTATGACGCCTTTTCGCAGGATTAATCGTGTCATGTGCTGGGCGAAGTCATAGCAGTTAATGTAGAAAGGCAATATACCATCAAAAGCGTGGCCGCCATGTTGATCACACCCACGCCCTGTCCATCTTGACGATATGAAGCGTATGTATGTGTTACAATCTTGGGGAACTACACATAAGGTATACCTCCAGAGAAGAATTCTCATCTAATTATAATACTTTGTAGTGTAACAACTACTCAGTGTATTTCATTTAGTATTTTCTTTTTCATTACAGTCGACCAGAACTTCTTGAAGCTTTGAACGTGTTGGGATTCACACAACCGTCGAAAATTCAAGAATTCGCCCTTCCTCTACTGATTATGGAGCCGTAAGTAATTCAAATTCGAATCGAATTCATTTATTTTTATTTCATTTTTATTTTATCATTTATTTTCGAATTCATTTATTCCAGTAATTTCTTCTAGTGATGTCCAGTAGACTTTAGGCCGACAAATATAATAGCCCAATCGCAATCTGGTACAGGGAAAACTGCTACTTTCGTTCTTACGATGCTTTCTCGTGTGGATTCCTCAAAAAGATATCCGCAATGTCTCTGCTTAGCACCGACATATGAGCTTGCCATACAGATAGGTGAGAGATGCTATCGTAATTTCTTTCGTTTTTACTATCGTAATTTCTGCGGAAGTTGTTGTACAAGTTCCAAGTTGTCCCTTGTTGCTACCTCAGCATGCCGAGTTCGAGTTGCTTCTGCGTAACAGGTTATTGAGCTGCCTTCATACTTTACGGGAGCATACAACAGCGTTACGAGCGTACGCTACCGCCAGCTACGAAAGTATGGATATCGATTTAGCGGACGCCATCGTAGAAAGTTCTCGCGAGCAATTCGAGTTTGGAAAAGACTGCCTCGCGAAAACGCTGCTATACGCACGCGTTTGCTGGATTGATATCTATACTTTCCTAGTCGGTGACGCAAAGTATGAACGCAGTCTTGTATTGAACCTTCTGTTGAGCTGATATTCTGATCTTCTTGTCTTGATTAGCGACCGAAGGTCCCAAGGAGTACGGTGTAAGGAGTAAGGTTTTCCGTTCTTACTAACCTTAAACGTTCAGCGTAAGCTGCGCTCCGCGGTGCTAACGTGTGAGGGGGACCACACGCATCGCGGCGAGCGGTGCGTCATCTGCTATTCCACCCCCTCGTTGGCGAGATAGTGTTCGAAACATCCCATAGATGCTCCCCGGCAGACGTCAAGCGAGACACTAGCTAAACCAGGATAAAACAAAAGAGATTTGCCGGGAATGTGATTGAAACAGCACACAGATGGTTCCCGGCATATTCGAAGAGGAAATAGATGAACATCGAGTAAAAGGAGGAGTGTATCTACCAGTTGCGAAGTTATTCTGCTTGTAAAGCATGGCTTCTGCTGCTAATCTTCTGACTCTGCGTGAATTTTACGCTTGGCTTCAAACGAGTTGGCGTACGATACGAAAGGGAGGATTCTCGACGGAAAATTAGCGTCACGAATCGGAGGGCTCAGGTGGGACAATCGCGCGCCAATGTCTAAATCTGTGGAAATCCGACGGAGGGTTGCTACAAAAGTGGAAGTTCCAAGTGTCACCCTTTCGCTCGTTTCGCCGACTGTTGAAGGTGGTGGAGAGGAAGATCGGTTACTCAAAACAGCATATTTTCGGAGTCCTCTACGTGGTGGTCCAACGGAAGTCCTTTCGGGCTCCTATCATTCGCTATACATCTCGCAGATGGCGAAGGAGATGGTCTCAGAACACCTTGAAGTGCAGCACAATCCTGCAGTCCGCCGAGCAGTGGTTTCGGATATGTGCTCGGTCCAGTTCTACACTTACAATTGTGGCAGGCTTGGTTTATATAGTAGACTGAATACAACGTACAAGGCGGCGAAACCAACATCCGGTCGTTCGAAAAGTATCAACGTCGGCCCCGCATCGCTCGGAAAGATTTGCTTGTCGGTGGAAACCCAGGACGACACGGAGCTCTTTTTTGTAGAGATCGTCCACAAGCGCGACGCTGCTAATACGGAAATACGATCGCCCTGGAGGCACCATTCGAACCGATATGTGGGACGGATCCAACAACCTCGCCAATCTAGGATATACCCGCAAATTGGTCACTCACAGGGCCAAACTTCGTTATGGCGGCACGGTCAGTCCACACAAGCGCACTGCAGTGCATGTGCGTCACACTCTGAAAGGAAATATCTGCAGGCATGGTTTCAGAGGCGACCTTTGGGATGACCATTTCATCGAGGTTCTCTGGAAGTGGCAAGACGACAGCGAGCATCTGCTGTACGAACTGTGGGCGGCTCATCTCTATCCAGTATCCCATCCGTTCAGCATGACTAACCCAACGGCCCTTTTAAGGACCAGGGAAAGGAATACTGGTCGTTCATCCCGAGTTTAGTAAATAAATAAATCAGAAGTCTTGTGATTTTGCTGTAAGGAAACCCTCTCAAAATTCAGTTTTTACCACATGATGGCCAGCTATTATATTTCTTTAGATTCTGCGCAGCATCCAGCTTAATACCCTTTTAGGCTGAGGCAGAAATCTATGTAGCTTACGATTCTTTCTTCCCACTTTTCAGCGCCATCTGTTTTATTCTTCGAAAATAGCATCCTAGGGCGGTGTTATATTCATGTCCTTAACATAATAAGTTCCCTCGGACCGCTCGCCGCGAGCCGTGTGTTCCCCCCCCCCTCCTCTCTCAATACGTTCCGCGGGCTGGAACCTCGGCCTCTGGAAAAAAGGAGAGTGGGATTCCAATAAAAGTTTCTATCTAATAACCTAGTCCGGCAGAAGTGATTAATATTGCTTCCTATTAGTAATTAGTACTGTTGAACAGTTTATCACAAATGCGTAAGCAAAGATTTTTACTGAGAATAATGTGGAAATTTATGATTCAGGTGAAGTCGTTGCGAAAATTGCACAGTTTATGCCTGAAGTCGAGGTCCATTTTGCCGTGAGAGGGGTAAAACGTGAGCTTCTTCCCACAATTACAACTCAAGATGTTTAATCCCAGTGAACGATGCTTTTTAGCCTCTGCCCCCATCACCGAACAAATAATTATTGGTACGCCCGGAAAGGTTGGTTCACATGGTGTTCTCATTTCTTACCGCACTACTTTGTACTCTTTTGATTTCAAATGCAGTTGTCTCATATATGGACTGTTCCACAGTTCTCTTTCCAAGGATTGTATCATTCGATTATGAGCGCTTTTGTTTTTTGTTCCAGTTGGTCGACTATCTTACCAAATACCATTGCCTTGACCCGTCCCATATTTGTTGTCTTGTTCTCGACGAAGCAGACGTCATGATCAATCAGGCTGGATATACAGAACAGAGCACGCAAATCTACAAGTAAGTTTGAGTTGAATATTTTGCACCATCCGAATTCACGAATCAGTTAGAACTCTTCAGCACACTTTTCCGAATACAATCGATCGCGCATAAGCGATTTGTTTAGCTGAACTAGTCGCGAAAACAACGTCTAAAAATGCTGAGCATTAAGCTGTTCAGTATTGATTGAACCCCGTATTCAGATCCCCATTACTGGCCTAGAAAACTGAACGACTATTCGGTCCCCAAGCATGGGCTTTATGTGGCGGTGCTCATCTCGGTGTGTTCTTGTCGAAATCTTATCATTTCCGGTCTCGGACTGAGGAAACACTGCGTTGGTCTTGATCTGAGTCCAGACTGGGCAAGTGGTAATTTCGTAGTTTGCGGTGTACTGGTAGTCCAGCTGGTTCACAGTCGAATCTATTAATGATTAGTTATGGTATCCAGGGTGCGCTCTAAGAGCGCGTTCAGACTTCGCGATCGCGCGATCGCGCTACTGTGGGTGAAATTACACCGGGAGGGGGTCATGTTCGTTCATGTTTATTGTTCCTGTTCTTTTTTCCTTTTCCTTCTTTCTTCC